ACACACTGTATGACAGTAAAGATTCATGTGTCTGTGTGTGAAGGAAACAGGACGGTTTGGATCTAGATCCTCAGAACCAGCTGGTTCTGTATCTGTGAAGCAGAGTTTTATTTCACACTGTGAATATTTTAGAGTTTAATGGACTTTTTCCATCATTTCTGAGCCTCAGAACTTCATCAGTGCAGCAGATAGACACATGACGTTTAGGAGGAAGAACACATCTGACACCAGATCAGTTCTACATCCATCCAGGTGTCTCAGTCTGAACGCTGGATGTTTGGACTAGTTTGAGTGATTTTGGATAATTTTTGTGTAACTTTTACGTCACTTTGAGCTATTTTTGGAGTAATAATGGAGATTTTTGACAAGTTTCCAGTATTTTCACCTCATTTTGAACAATCTCTGATTCATGTGGGACAATTTTCTGTAACTTTCGTGTCAATTTTTAAAATTTTTGACGGATGAAAAGCACATTTGAGTTCCGTTAAAAATTGCAAACTGAAACAGTTTTACGTCCATCCAGGTGTCACAAACACATGGGACACATTTCAGGTCATTTTAGAGGAAAACTGAGCAATTTGGGACAAATTTTGTGTCATTTTAGACGACTTTGCTGCAATTTGATCAATTTTTGATGAAACACACATTTGATCTCTATTTTAAAAGTCTGACGTCAGAGTCAACGTACCTGCTGACTCACTGATTCTGGATCATTTTTGTGTCATTCTGGACGATTTTCACGTCATTTCAAACTATTTTTGGAGTAATATTGGACAGTTTTGACAATTTTAACGTCATTTCGAACTATTTTTGATGAATGAAAAACGCATTTGAGTTCTGTTAAGAATTCTGAGTTCTGTCAACATCTAAAGACAAAAAAAGGAGAAATTTTGAGTAATTCAGGTCAATTTTCAAGTAATTTTGAACAATTATTTTGAGTCATTATGAACATTTTTGAGTCATTTTTGACAGTTTACAAGTAATTCTGGACAATTTTAATTCTTTTTAAACAATTTTAATTAACAATTTTGGGATAAATGACTTTCATGTCATTAGAACAAATATCTGATGAAGAACACGTCTGAGTTCTGGTTCAAACCAAATCAGTTTTCATTTCATTGAGGACAATTTCTGGAGTAATTTTTAAAGAATTTGAGTAATTTCTGATCATTTTTGTGTCATTCTGAATTATTTTTAGTCTTTTTTTGACCATTTCAGAGTCATTTTTAACAATTATTGAATCATTTTTGTGTAACTTTGGGACACTTTTGTCACTTTGAACACTTTCTGGATGATTTTGCTAAATTTTTTAAGCCGTTTTCACTAATCATCCAGTAATTTTACAGTTTTTAATGGACTTTTTCCATCATTTCTGACCCTCAGAACTTCATCAGTACAGCAGATAGACACATGACATTTTAGGAGGAAGAATACGTCTGAGTTCTGGTGAGTCATGGCCATGTTGGGCTATTTGTGAGGAATTTTAGGCAGAACTTTAGTCATTATGGACTCATTTTGAGTCATGTTGGATCGTGTTTTTGTCGTTTTTGACAACCTTTGTGTCATTTTGAAGAACTGTTTGAGTCATTTGGGACGATTTCNTGTCAATTTACATGTTGGCAGTAAAACAAAGAAACAAAACAAAACAACCACAAATAATGTCCCCATCAAAAATCTGTATTTTTTACAAATATTAAATCAGTGTTTATGAAAAAAAATCAAATAAATTTACAGATGTTTGCTGTTTTTTTTTAAAAGAATAATTATTTAAATTACATATTGAGAAATGATAAATAATATTAAATGTGTTTAAAAAAATTTAATTATTATTTTAATTTATTATTATTATTATTATTTTTGCAAATCTTACCTGTTTTGTGAAGTTACAGAAGATATCTAGTGATTAATATTAATTTACATATGGAGAGAAAACAACAACTAAAACTATAAATACTGTAAAAATACTAAAAATAATAATAATAGTAAACTAAAAAAGATTATATCACTTGGCTATAAATTGCATTTTTTTTCTTTTTCTTTAAATCTGCAAAAACCATCATTATTTTACAGATAGTCACTGTTATTTTCACCATTTATACAGTTTATTACACGTTTTTATTATTTACTAACTGGGGCAGCCATGATAACAGATCATTACTGTATTTTTATGGGATTTA